CCCCCCCGGTAGCACCCTGTGTTTCACAACCCTCTGGGCTTTCTCTCTTGCACATGGCTTCCTGCTAGCTCCTGAGAGCAGACAGCAGTTTCCACCTCTGAGCGGTCACGTGGCTGGTACAGAATTTTGAAGTCCGTTTTTACCATATATTGAAAACCTATACGTGAGATCATATTCTGTGCACAGTCAAAAATAAATAAATAAATGCTGAGCTACGCTTGAGAACAAATGAAGCAGAACAGCAAGACAGCTGTGAAATCTTAAGCCTCCTACAGCTGTGCTTACTGCCTTCTCCTCGGTCACGTGTAGGTATAACCTGCACAGGTATTTTTATTGTTTCCTTTCTGGGTGATGTGCATGGTGTAGACTTGCTTTGGAAAGGTATTTGGCCATCCAGCCTCCACAGCATGTACACATGATTGAAAACTGCATTTTAACAAACGTGATGGGAACATTGGTGACTTTGAGCAGTGTGTTGTTAATTTTGCCAGCCGCCGGCAAGGCGAAAAGACACTAGATCTGTCCCCTGCAATCCACGCTCTTTCAATGCTTGTGAGAGCTGGAGTTCTCACTGCCCCAGGGGGGGTATTATTCCAGGGCCCAGAGGGAGACCTGTTTGGAAGCTCCCCTGCATTTTAGGGGCCCCTGCTGGGATCCCTAGGAGGCTTGCAGGTCGAGAAGGGCCGTGCGGTGCCCTCACTCAGCCTCTTGGGTGCTTCTGTGGCAGGTTCCTATCCAGCCTCCGTGCCCGCCTCAAGCTGCTGCATCCGAGCCCCAACTGCACCCTGCGGGAGGAACACGTTGTCCACGTCCACTTCAAGGAGGAGATTGGCATTGCGGAGCTGATCCCCCTCGTGACCACCTACATCATCCTCTTTGCCTACATCTACTTCTCCACTCGTAAGTTGGAGGGAGCTGCAGGCAAGGGGTGGGAGAGGGGCTTCAGGAGCCAGATTTTTTTGAGGGGGGAAAATGTCTTTTATATTGCATTTCTGAGAAGATGATCCAGAATGAAATGAGGTAAAAAAATGGCCCACTGTACACGGGAAGAGAGAACCCTGGTTTGTTAAACCAGGGCTGTATTTGGTGTTTGTGGGCTCTCTTTTTGGAACTGCTTGAAGAAACAGCTCGGTTTTAGGAGAAGGCGTCAATGGCCCACTGCCTTTTAGCTTTTGGAGTGGTGACATTGCACTGAATGTGTAAGGAGATCACCCCGAGATACGAGGGGACTGGAAACCCAGCCCTAAGAGGAGAGACGGAAGGAACTGGGCACAATGAGACTTGGGAAAAAGAAGATAATAGAGGGTAGACAGGAGAGCACTCTCCAAACACTTGGAAGGCAGTCCTAGAGAGGAGGGGCTGGATCTGTTCTCAATCATTCCAGAGTGCAGGACCCATAATAATGAGCAGGAGGCCAGATTTTAGTTAAACATCAGGGAAAACCTCCTAATTAAAGCAAGGCACGACAGTAGAACCAGTTATCTCAGGAGGCAGTGAATGCTCCAACACGGGAGACGTTCAAGAGAAAGCTAGACTGCCATCTAATCCGATACTAACTTGGCTTCCTGCATGGAGGCAGGGGTTGGACTCCATGATCTTGCAGACTCCTTCCAGCTCTGTAATTCCGTGATAAGCATGCCGAAGCCTCCAGACGGCCCCTCATTTCCTGTGCCATCCAAGCTGTGGATAATCCCTTTCTTTTCGGCTGGAGAGGGAGGGATGTGGAAGTCCTCTCTCGGTACCTTTTGTCCCTGGCCCATGACGGTGGCAGCTTTGCTTTCTCTTCCGCAGGCAAGATTGACATGGTGAAATCCAAATGGGGCCTGGCGCTGGCCGCTGTTGTGACCGTCCTCAGCTCTCTGCTCATGTCCGTTGGTCTGTGCACCCTCTTTGGCCTGACACCGACACTCAATGGAGGGTACGTCTCCAAATTCAGCTTGGAAAGGGGAGTGGGTGTCCGGGCAGTCACAGCAGAACGGAACTGCGGCTGTTGAATGACCGTCCAGAGCCCTGCGGGGGCGCGGGGACTGGCACGCCTGTCCCCTCCCGCTTGCCTCTGTCCTGACGGGGCCAGTGGGAATTGCGGCCATGAAGCTGTGGGAGGGCTGCACGTTGGCAGCAGTTCCTGTTGCTGCGTGGCTCTCCAAGCATTCTCTTGTTCTCCTAAGCAAATGGTCTCTTGCTGAGATGAGTCTGATTGCTCTGGTTTGAACTCTTGAGTGGATTCCTAAAAATATAAAGTGTGAATGTATCGAACATGTTAGGAGCCCATAAATGGCCAACAAGTTCATTTCACAGTGGGGTCAGCAGTAGCTTCCAGTCTGATTTGTTCACAGATGGAGGCAGAAGGCAAAGCGTATAACTCCAGTCCATCAAATAAATGTTGTCCAGAAACCCAGGAAGCAGTGCCTTTCCTACTAATGAGAAACTGGGGTGTTCTCTGAGAAACCCATCAGGAGTCTTGCCACCTCCACCTTTTCTTAGCAGCCGTAGGGTAAGCGCCGGGTCTGCAACCTCGCTTTAGCAAATTTTCATGACATTTCATGAGTCTGACGGAAAGTGCAGGCCATTTGCAAGCATTTCCTGACAGGTCCCTGCTCACGGTTAGATTAGATGTAGCAGCCAGTTTCGCATCAGATGAAATACAGATGTGTGGCTAAGGGTCGAAATCCATTGTATGCATTCCTTTCCTGCCATTAAACAAGGAAACTGTTTAATTCCAAAGCCATTTCAGTAAATAGCTTGGCCGCCTGTTTCCTGTCGATACCACGTGGACAAAGGCACCACGTTCTCGTCCTGACGGGTGGGGAGGTGATCTCAGCAGGAACCATAAAGCTGGAAAGAAATGGACGAGGGTTGGAACCCCTCAGCTGCCCGAGGTGTCCTCGATCCTCTGCCGGATCCGTGCATCACAGCTGCCCATTACGTAAAGAGTTGCACGAAAGTAAAAAAGCACGGTGACCTCTGTTTCTGTGACCTTCCTGCGGTCACCTTCCTGTCTGGTGGTGCGAGGGGGCCCAGAGCTGGACTTTCCCCTCTCATGGACCGACAACTGGGGACACCTTGGATCTGTGCCCTTTGTTGACCGAGAGTCTGATGGCCTTGCTTGCTTGCTTGCTCGCTCTCCTGTCTGCTTGGGGCTGGTGCGGTTGGCCCCTGAGGCATATGTTGACAGGTGTGAATATTTTCCCTTAGAGGAGAAAGCCTGCAGTTGCGGAAGACATCGTATGTGTCTTTCAGCTGAAGTCCTGTCTTAGCCTGGAAACTTCCTGTTTAAGTTGGTTTAGGAAGCTTTTGTCTTGACGAGTTCCATTTTCTGCCCCAGCCCACCTCTGACCAAATAACAAACTGTTTCTGACCAGATTTTCTCAGGCTTGTCTCTCTCTTGTTTCCGTTTTGCCTCTCTAGAGAGATTTTTCCTTATCTGGTGGTCGTGATTGGTCTGGAAAACGTGCTGGTTCTCACCAAATCTGTGGTTTCCACACCCGTCGACCTGGAAGTGAAGCTGCGGATTGCCCAAGGTACAAAGGAAAGCGCGGGAGGGTAACGTAGGCCAGATCGCTGGGTCTCTCTAGTCCCAGACTCTCGTCTCTGATCAAAGGCCAGGCCAGGTCTTTCTCACATTTCTTCATGCTCAATAAAAATACCGAAGCAGCAGCAGCAGCAGCAGCCAACTAAGTTTCCTGAACAGCCCTGCTCAGAGGTTAAGGGTGTAAAGTAGAGAGTTGTGCCTCCTAGCCCAGTCTAGAGGGGTGTGGGGGCCAGTGCAGAGGGAAACCTCCTTGGAAAGCAAGGGGCAGTGATTCCTCAGACCCTTACCCTGTGTGTGGACAGACCCTGGTGTGAAACATATTCAAATAATGTGTGCGTACGGTTCTGTGTCCTCTCTGGAGGCATGCTGCCACCTTCTGCCTCTGAATTGATTTGGCTCCACCAGCACGTCTTGCAGGTGCCCTGCAGGAAAAGGGCCGGGTGGTGTGAGAGAAAGCTCTTTTTCCCGTCTCTAGACTGCCTGGAATCAAAGCCTGTAGCCTTTTTTATCTCTGCAGAAGAGCCTCTTGACTTTTATTTGGCTTTGGCGGCTTTTTGTGTTTGATTTTGTGAGGTGTTCTTGGTATTTATGTGAAAATTGTGTGGATAAAAACAAGCTACGCATTCCAGAGCCTTTCTGACCGCTTGCCTCTTGGGTATAACGATTCTTACAGACATTGTAGAGAAGAACCTCTCACTTCATAGGAACCCCCCCTTTCCCCCCTCCCTTCCAGGCTTGAGCAATGAAAGCTGGTCCATTATGAAGAACATGGCGACAGAGCTGGGGATTATTCTGATTGGCTACTTCACCCTCGTCCCGGCCATACAGGTACCTGGGGCGGTGTGTTTGAATGCTTGGGAATTTGCGTACCTCAGGGTGCATTTCCTGTTTGTGTCTCTGCAAGGTCAGCAACCTTGTGGCTGATGATCTGTTCTCTTGTCCAGTCTGGTCTCAGTAGATCTTTTCTCTGGTGACCCACTTCAGCTTGTTAGACCCATTCTAGTCGGGGAGCAGAAAAAGCTGCTGTTGCCCGGCTGTCACTTTCTCTCCCCTTCCTGTTGCTGCATTTTCAAGTGGTTCTGGGATGGGGTGGAGAAAAGGTTTGAAGGGCACCTGGAAGATTTAGCCTCTGTTGTGGTGACAGGGGATTGGTGGCAGATTCAGAGAGCAGGACGCAAGGTCTGGGAGGCTTGGATTTCTGCATGCAGTGCTTGCTGCTGGGTGAGGCACGTAGTGGGTTTGCACCCGTGATACTTATCTGTATCCCTGAGCTTGAAGGACAGAGGATGTGTGGAGTCCAAGGGAGTGCTGAGTGGCCTCACCCGACCCATGGCCTTTGCCCTGGATGGGTTGCCTCAGAGGGAGGAGGAGCCCCGAGGCCTTGACTGGGCGGCCCCAGCAGCTGGAGCGGGGACTTGGGTCGGCCGCTTTGCTGCCACAGCCAGTGGGAGGCCCGTCTCTTTCCCCAGCAGTTGCCCAGCAGGAGTCCAGGAAGGGGGCAAGAAAAAGCTTTCCCCTCCCCTCCCCTT